TGTCTTTTTGGCCCTCGTAACGAACATTTTGGACGAAAATCGTCTCTATGGACGAGATGTGAAAACCAATAGAAGGTTGATGATAAAAAAAATTAAAATAAAATAAAAAAGGTGAGAACATAGGTGTAAAAATAAGAGAAGTTTAAGAATATTCATTATAATTAAAATGTAATGTAGTTAACAAAATTTGTGGTGTAAACATATTTACCCTTCTCAATATTTGCATAAGAAGATAAGCTTCAATGTCTTGAAGTGATTTGAAATTTGAGGTGTCGTGATCTAAGTGGACTATCATATCGCAAAAACTTTTCTCGATAAATGATACAAAAAATTAGTGCATACCATTTTCAGCGTACTTTTTATCTGTACATTACGTAAAATTCACGATTCACGATCATTTTCAGCTCTTAATATCATACCATTTTAATTAAGAAATTGACTTCTTCAAATGTGAAGCATTTCTTACCCTCACACCTACAAGTTATAATTAATTAAATACGACACGTTGAGTTTCTTAATTGGGTGGAAACGAGACTTGACTCATTCATAACCTTGTCAATCTATTTTCTTAGATTAGTACATCCGCAGCGATGAAGAAAATTCAACACGCAAGTGGAAGAAAAATAACTCAAAAATTGAAATATAGTGTAGAATTCTAGAAGCACACAAGTAAAGCAAAACTGCAAAGAAAATAACCCGTGGTATGCAGAAATCACACACTTACACGTTTCGGTCGTGTTCCCTTAAATCTCAATTCTTTTTTAGAGCTTCATTTCGTTCAATGATAGTACCATTGAAATGACCTTATAATATTACAAAAATGGAAAATTAAAGTTTGTTTATAATAAATTTTCGCTCGATTGCATATATTATATTTCGTCGTTCTATTTGACTTATTACAAGATCGGTTGAAATGGTCGTACAATTCACAATTCAAAAATGAATAACTAAATTACGTTTTGAATAAATTTCGGATCAATTGATGAGACGAGTCTTTTTAAACATTACGTTCAGTTCATTGCAGGATCTCGTAAAATCATCACATAAGAAAAACAACAAAATAGACCTTATTCACAAATGAGTAAATTTAGTATCATTGGTGATACACATCATTTTAGATGATAATACGTCTTAAGGGTTTTGCTATTCGTCTGCCATGGACGACGACGCCCCTGAGAGACAGGACCAAGGAGAATACACAACCTACACTTAATTAAATCCGTCATTTAATGACTTAGGAGTCTTTTGATACGATACATGTTTTTGATTTGATTTCTTATAGAAGATTTTCACGAGAAAGTTACATTAATTGGATTCCTCTAAAAGCTCTCATATTCAGATAAAAATATTTTTAGAAAATTATCTAAACGTGTTAGTATGTTCTTGATATCAAAAACAACGTTTGACCTTTTAAAAACTCTGTCAAACGGACCATTGAATTAATACTTGTAACTGAAAACATTATTTCAATTCTCAATAGATTTAAAATCTTTCCACGTGGAATTCTTCTCCTTCCACTAACTAAAGGGACCAGTCATACGTGGTCAAGAAAAATAGGCCGGTTTCGAAATGTACAGTTCACGGTACAGCCAAGGATGTTGAAGTGGTCAAACTAACTCTAATGTGAAAAGTCAAAGAAAGCCAAGTCCCTTGTTTATATTTTGTAGAGATCCTGAAAATAAGGAAAAAGATAGATAGCCCGGATTTGCATCCAGACTTTGGTGATCGACGCCATGTGGCGTCATTTCATTGGAGGGGGGCCTGTTCAAATAGGCCCCCCTCCAATGAACCGACGCCACATGGCATCGGTCACCAAAGCCTGGGTGCAAACCTGGGCTCTCTAGCATGGCTCTGGAAATAATAAACTATCGTATTGTAGGAGGCAATTTCCTTTGGTCATGACAGGGTAGTAGCCAATTGGAGGCATCAAAGAATAACCTTATTTTAATTTTCTTTGTTTTCAACTTGTGGAAAATTGTTTCTCTTTAAGAGAAAGTGTGGTTTAAAGTGAAGGAAAAAAAAAAAAAAAAAGGGTTCACGTATAAAATTATTTCCTCCGAAAACTGTGTACTTAAAAATGAATTTGAAGAAAAATAAATTTTAAAAAATGTGACTCGAACGAGTGCGAAAGGCGATTTGTAAGCACGCTTAAAGTAGCATTAATCAAAAGAATCTTTTTTTTTCTATAATGTGATTTGTGATTTTGTTTGTGCATGAAAAGAAAGGAACAGGAACTAAAAAAGAATTAAAGTCATGTTTGGCTCTAGTTTTTTAAAATTTATTTTCAATCACATTTTATAAAAAATGTGTGATTAAAAAAGATTTTTTTTTTTAAAAAGATTACATGTAATATTATTTTAGAGTAATGCTATTCGTAGTGAAAATTACCGGTAATCTTCCTAAGTGGCATATATGTGACGGTTTGTGATTTGATGCACGAGTCAATAAAAAACTATCACGTTAATGCATCGAATCATAAACTATCACACGTAGGAAGACTACTGCTAGTATTCACAATAAATATTATTATTTATTATTTTATTGAATAATATGTAATTGATAAAAAAAGAGAAAAAATGAATTATAATTTAATAAAAAATAATGAGTGCCAAACATGGGCTGTCGACACGAATTAGTCAATAAAGAAGGGAGTTGATTGAGTAGGACGCGTTTTTTAAATGAAGACTACTTGGATATTGACTATACCACGTCCTGTGACTGGAAAAGAACCTTCACTGTGAGAAAATATCTGGACACAAATATCTTTCGATGGGGTCCATTTACAAAAATTCCAACTTTTAATTTCCAATTCCACCAAGAGTTCTAGTGGTTATTATTAGTTTAACAAGGTACAGTTCTTTTCATACAATATATACCAATGCAAACTTGAAAAATTTGCCGACATGGGTCCCAAAACTGGAGGGAAAACGATGGCAATGCAGTGAGTTGTAGCAACTTGTAAATTGCCTCTTCTGATTATTTCAATAGGCATTATGTTGACTGTTGGGGCAAACAGAAAATATTGTACTGGATTTTTTGTCACCAGTAGTTTTTAAGGAAGTTTCTGTTTTTGTTTTTTTTTTTTGTTTTCTAAAAAGTAGTTCCATCATGATACATGTGCACTAATGTTAATTTTTATATGGTGCCACGTGACAACACGTTATTATTAAACAGTTAATTTTTTTTTCACCAATCAAATTTTGCTAACATTAATGATGTCAAGCATGATGTACAAGTAGCATTGTCCAAAATCGTTTACCAGGCTTTTTGGTATAGAACATTGATCAATTTTGAAATTCAATTGCTCGGTTGGGCTTATTGATTTTAATACCACATTGAATTTCGAGATTTCATCCATAAAGGTTAATCGTATTAAGCTTTTTAGCAAAAACAAGGGGTGGCACAAATCGGGTTAGATCGGGCTCGGACCAAACCTAACAACCGAGCCAACAGTTCGGGTTAGGTGAAAATTCCGACCCGAAACCAAACTAACAAGATGAATAATTCGACCGAATCGATTTAGATCAATTTTGTTTGTCATGTTCGAGAGAACTTTTCCCTTGAAAATCAATTTTTAAAATCGGACCCTTCAAATCGAGAACCAGATCAACATCCCTCTAAATTGATCCAAGTTGGTTCAATTTAACAGTTTAGATCGGTTAGACGGATAATTATCCTACCTCTAACAAAAACTAGTTATCAATATTTTTTGTTGTTTTAGAGAAAAGATAAATTGGCCACCATGGTCTTCAAATTTTGACAAATATACTATAAGGGCCCTCAATTTCTCAAACTTAAAACTTTCGGCGCAGGTTGGTCATCACAAAATAAACATTTATCCCATTTTCTACTAATAAAAATCCACGTGTCTTGCACGTTTCTTCTTTTTTGAGTTGTTTTCTTCATTCTCTCAATAACACATCGGAAAAAAAAGGAACCCGACCCCCCAAAGCCTTCCTCGTCTTCTGTTCTCTTCTCGAGCCGCCTACTATGGTTACAAAAAGAATAAATTTGAAAAATGTACGCAACTTGTCAAGTGTAGATATATGAACATATATTCTATCAAAATATTCTCTTAATATAATATCGAGAATAACTTCTAATCCGACCATCAAAATTTAATAAGTTAAAATCAAGCATATTTCAATACGTGTCATCGTTGTCTGTATGTTCCAGGCATCAACCTTTTCTTGGCTTGATACTGCTTTGTCTTCCTTAATATAATCAACATGTTGAAGTAAAAATCTCTTCTCACATTATCAGAATCTTTGAACATGTGAAAAGGAGTCTCTAAAGATCACTTTTCAGTGATTTACAGCAATTAAGGTTGTAATATAATCGAAATTCTCAACTATCACATATCTAAAACACGACATAGAAACAAACAAAGATTTAGAAACCTTAAAGGTCTGTTCTCTTTATCAGTCGTTTTCTATTTTCGATTTTTCAAAAAAGTGAAACCGCATTCTATTTCCCATTTTCGAAAACGGGTTTTTGAAAACAAGTTAAAAATTTACAAAAAAATCCAAAACAATAATCAAGTCAAAATTTTCAAAATGCGTTTTGGGTATTTTCAAAACTCAAAATACAAAACTGAAACATAAATAGAACAGTCCCTAAATTTGTTCTTAATTTTGTTTCATTGAGGCTATTAAAGCCCTGTTTATTTCAGATTAAAATCAGATTTTAATTTAAATTAAAGTCAAACAATCAATATTAAATACATTTTTTAAGAATCCCACAATTTTTCAACCACACATTTCAAAAAATTCTATTACAATCTACTAAAAATCTAATTATAATTC